AGCCTTCGGAAATGCGAAATAGAAGAAGAAAAGCGGCTAGCTTGTGATTGTGTCTGTGTGAATTGGGTTTGCGGGGACATTGTTGCGGGGTTTACGGTTGGGGGGGTTTACACGGACGAACGAAGGCACGCACGCACGCACGCACGTACGTGGAAGGGTGACGGGTTAGGGATTGGGAGTCGAGAGGTAGTGGGGATACGGAAGGGTTGGATAGGTTTGTCTGCTGGATACGCACATTCACTTGCGTGTACACAGTCACCACCACAACATCAACAACAACATCAACATCAACAACAACCACAACAACCACAACAACAACAACAAAAATGCTCACCCGCCTCGCCACCCGCGCCGCCCTCGCAGGCAAACGCACCACCACCACCACCACCGCTCGCTACAACTCCTCCAGCACATCCAGCACCGCCGCTCGCGTGATTCAAATCGCCGCCCGGACTGAACGACCTTGTATGTTTCTTCTCCCTCTCTCCCTCCTTCCTTCCTTCTCACCAACCCTTCCAACCCCACATCACACACACACACACACACTAACCCAACCCCCCAGCCGCCACCGAAGCCGCCATCCCCGCTCTCTGGGCCGCCTGCGGTGCCCTAACATACACGGCGTGGAACCGGTTAAGCGAGGAAAGCGCGGGCGGGAATGTGGAGCGGTTGATTATTGTTTAGGCAGAGCAGAGAATCGGAGGGCAGTTTTATGTTTTTATATTTTGTTTTCAAGAGCAAGGGGGAAGAGGAGGTGCGTGATGGATTAGCTCAGCTACGGGTTAGGGATTAGACTTGGGAATAGACTTGCAATCTGGATTGAGAAATTGAAGAAGAAAATAATGATGAAAAGGGATTGGCGATACTTGTGAACAAGTCTGTTGACTCCATGCCCGTCAAACTCGACTCGAAATCAAAGCAAACACATCAACACATCACGCATCCCCGGCTTCCAAAGCTACACTGTCTCTTGTCATTGTAATCAAGGCGGGGTTCTCTATTCATTGTCACCAAGGGGGTATCTAATCTACCAATTTCCACAAAGCTAATGTGGTCATCCCGCTTCATCCCATCCCATCATTCACTCATCTCATCCTTGATTTCGTCAAAACATATGCCTGTGCATCACAACCCACACCAGGTGTTCCCTCGCCAAGCCTGCCTACCAAAGAACCAAAATCATGATAAGAAAACGGCAGAACAAGAATCCAGAATCCATCTTCCCCATCATCATCATCTACTCATTCGCCGGCCCCTCGGGCGTCAAACCAACACGTCGACTCCCATCCTCCAGACTCATCGTCGCCTTGGCATCCTCGTCCTCCTCGCGCGGCGCACTAACAACATCCTCAATCATGGCCGCAAAGTCGACCGTGATGCCCCCGACATTCATCTTAAGCAGGGCCGTGGCATCCGGGCCGTCGGTCGTGAAATCCATGCTAGCATGCCGCGAGCCCTGGGCTTCCCCACTGCCCATGCTGTCCATGAGATTATCGTTGCCAAACATGCCTGTGCTGCCCCAGAGCCCATTGCTGGCCGTCTCGGGATCTTCGTAGAGATCAAAGCCTAGATTCAGCGGTCCGCCTTTGGGTGGCGAACTCGGCATTGGCATGTCGCTCGAGAGGAAATCGTCGTGCAAGAAGTCGGAAAATTGGGCGCCAGGCCGACCAGGGGTGTTGAATGTTGGGAAATTGCTAAAGTCTATGCCGTGCGAGGGCGAGGAAATGGGGTGGTCGGAAAGTAAGGCATTGAGCTGACGGGTAAACGGTGTCTCGGGGGCAATAGTAGCAGCGCGTGTGCCGCGTGGCGTGAATATGTTTCGCGAAGGCGTCGTAAGGGCATCCATATCGTCAGCACCGCCTTTCAGAGTCAAGAGACCACGGCGGCGGGAGCCTGGGGTGGGCGTCTTCAGCAGGTCTTGGAAGAGGTTGTTCTTTTGCGGTGTGGTCTTTGGCATAACGGAATCCTCGAAAAGGTCGGCAAAGTCATCGTCAGCTCGAGTTTTCTCCAACGGCGGTGGCGGACAATTTTCTTTATCTGCATTCTCTTCTTCACTTATTGCAGGACCTGCTAGAGGCTGTTCAAACCAGTGGGTTCGGGGCTGTTCACAGGGAACACAGCCATCATGCCCAATTCCAGCATCTTCGCATCGCCTGCAAGGCCGCTCGCGATCACATGCCTTTTTGAGTCCTTTGCAGCGTTGGCAGCGAGGCTTCTTTGGCGCATCATCATCGGCGACAGCGCTCGGTGCCTTGGGCTTGACCTCCAGTGACTTGGCTTCGCCCTCTTTTCTAGGTGACGGAAACAACAGTCTTCGGGTGGGCCTCGGGGTCAAATCTGCATCGATGTTGATGGGTGATTTCTGGCTGCCTCTGACCCCAGCTGGACTCGATTGAATGGCTCGCCGTAGGGCAGCCTGGGCACCGTCAAGATTTGAGCCGCCTGTATTTTGCATGCTGGTAGCACGCTCAGGTGCAGGTGGGGGGCCTAATTGGCTCACATGGGTGCCGTCATAAGATACAACCGCTTCCTCTTGATCGCCTGGCATAGCTGAGTCAGAATCAGGCACAACAGCATCAGATACCAAATCGTCACCTTGGCTGATTGACTTGGTGCGAGATCCCGAAGCGGCTGCCCTCTTGCGCTTCGGTGGCTTCAAAGACTTGTCCCACACAGTCTTTGGCCTCATGGCTGCCTTCTTCATAAGCCAAAGTCCACATGGGTTGCAAAGATTAAGTGGCTCGAAGATGTTCATAGTCTTCTCTTCCCGAGTGAGGTTGTTCTTGAAAATGCGGTATTTTGGTTCGCCATCGTTGTCGTCCGTTGTGTCGATAGCTTCATACGCAATTACGTCGGTCCCCGCAGTATCAGTGGACAGTTCGAGTCCCTCGGGCGTTCCAAATTCCACACGCGTGTAAGCTTTCCTCCAGGTCGGTGTGTCAATCTCTCCGCAGTTGACACAGTGCTGAGGCATCTCGCCAGCGGCAATGGCCTTTTCAAGTCGATCTTTGATATGCTTTCTGCGCTTAGCCCCCGAACCACTACGTGGAGCACTTGGATCAGCAGCAGGAGCAGCATCCGACATGGGCTCAGCACCCGACCAGGTGTGCGATCTCGGCAGACCCCTTGTTTTGGTAGTCTTCGTCGGCTTCGTGGGCAGGTTCGGAGTGGCCGAACGACTGTATACTGCAGCCTCGCTCTCACCAGTGGGAGAGAGACGGGAGATCGAATCGGGTGAATCAGCCTTGGCAGACGCTAATTGAGACGCTTCCTTGTGTGGGTTCTGCTTTGCCATTCCAAAGGGAAATGAATCTGTCGGTGCTAAGCGTTGTGTAGTCCGGTTGGATTCTTGCTGGGAGGCGGAACCTTGTGCATAGGCACCCGAATTGTCCGGTGGAAATTGCTGGTTGAACTGGCCGGCATCAAACAAGTCATGATTCACTGTATCCGTTTCCATGCCTGACATTCTCGTGTCGTTTTCTATACTCTCGGCAATGGGTTGCACGGGGTGCTTCCGATATGGCTGTTTGGGTCGTGGAACGTATGAATGTGGCAGGTGCTCTACTGGGCCGGGATTCACGTGCTGCCAGGGTCGGCGCACTTTGTTCTGTCGTGGCCCAACTCTCTCTTCAGTGGTAGTAATCTTGCTTCCCGAACCCGTACCATCGTCCTCACGGCCCATAGCGACGTCACTAACAAAGCCCGAATCGACGGGTGCCGATATGCTAGGTAAGTTTGGGCTAGACGGTGTAGGAGACGCGGCCTCGTTCGCTGCCAGCGGTGGCGAAGACGGCATTTCTATCGGTGTATCGACAGGACTCTCATCTCTTTCGTCGGGCGAATCGATGGCATTGTCTGAAAATGCGGACGTATCGTAAGGTGACATGTATGGGCGTCCAGCATCCATTGATGCGTGTCTCAAAGCGCTGGGGGCGGGTGGGCGTCGCTGTCCACGTTGCCCAAAAGCTCTATTACCAGGCCGAGGTGTTGGTGCACGAGGCACCATGTCCGCGTTCATCGATGAGTTACCGGGCGTTGGTCTATGGAGTCGTACAGAGGCTGCCGTGCTCGCTGTTACGCGGAGCGAATCATTGTGAGCGTTGAGTGGTGTGTTCCTGGGCCTCTTCGCCTGGGTGATGCGCGCTCTTTTCTTTGGCGGGCCATCATCTTGTTCTTCAATGACGTACGGGTCACTATGTAGGAACTGCTGTTGTGGTGGTGCCGCCTCGCTTCGAACGGAAGCTCTCGATGGAGGTCTTGAGTCTTGCTTGTACTGGTAGTGGTGGAAGGAAATTGTGCTCATAGCAGGACTAGATGGCCTAGTGGGCTGGCTGTTGAATGGCACGTGGGATTGATCGTAGAATGAGTCATTTCTGGGCTGTTCCTGTGAGGGGCTGTTGCGCGTAAGCATTTGATGAAATGGTTCGACGCCGCCAAAAGAACCCTGTCGTGCATGTTGCATGGGATAGGATGGCTTGGGTTGTGCCAGCTGACCAAGCGTTGGATTCTCCTTCAAGAAGTCGGACCATTGGTTGTAGTCGAAGCCCGCAGGCATGAGCTGACTCAAGCTGTGGTATCGCTCCATGTTCTCCACATATTCTTTTTGCAGGCATGTCGGAACAGGCACCAGCTTCAGCTTGACCTCCAAGGTTTCCTTGATCCCGTTTGAGAAGATGCCCAGGATGTTCTTGCACACGCGACCTGTGACCATGGTTTGAGAATCCTCGGCAGGAGCGTTTGGAGTCGTCGATGCGGAGGCGAGGATCCAGGAAAGCATACCCTGACCAACAAGGGGTGTCTCATACTCGGAGAAGTCATAAGCATACACGGTGTAGTCGTGACCCAGCTTGGCCACGAGTTCGGGACTAAGGTGGTGAGTACTGTGTGTCAATGAGCGGAGTTGGGGTGTCGGATAGCCTACCTTGCGCCAACAATCGCCTGTATGCATGTTTTGAGCTCAATGACTCCGACTTGAGTGTTCTCGTCGAGGGAGACCACGGGCACATTCAACGCGTTGGGCAGGCGGGCGAGGCAGTTTGACTTGTTCTGGTCGTCAAACGTGTAGAGTACCTTGACTGTAATCGAAATCATGTTAGAAGGAGAGCCTCAGAAACACCCGACATGCTTGCCTCGCATTGGTCTCCTGGCCACGTCGGCCATGTGGTCATTGTCTGCGACAGTGGTTGCCGGCGGTAAGGCATGCTGCAGGGCACCGATCTCCATGGTACTGTGCGAAGGGGTCGACATGGCTGCCTATGGAGTTGACCGAGAGATAGGCAGGCCGCGTCTTGGAGAGAAGATAAGGAGAGGTGAGAAGGTGAGAGGGTGAGAGGGGTGGTAGTGGTGGTCGTGGTGGTCGCCCAAGGGAGGTGGTCAATGTTATATCCCAATCGGTGGCTGGCGTGCGATCATCGCGAAACGCGTCTAGATGAAGCACGCAACGAGACAAAGCGGGCGGCCGGTGAAAAACGAGCGAATCGAGACGAAATCAATATTGATTTGACGGGGCAAGGGTGTCAGCAGGCAGCCGCACGCGTGGAAGAAGGAAAAAGAGGGTGTAAAATGGGGGTGAGAGAATGGATGTTGTAAAGTGCAGATGGTACCTTGTAGGCTTGTACCCAGACAAGTCGCCATGCAGACGCACGAGCCGGAACGTCTCATGCTCCCCGGGCCGCGCTAGTACCACAACAAGTAAGAACGCGTGACGCACTCTCCACCAGAACGCCAAGGCTGCACGCGTCTCATTGGGCCGGCGTCGGAACAACCTGCATGCCTAGCGCATGCCTGGCCAGCTTCCCTCACTCCCCATCGCGCCTGCAAGACATGGACGGCTGGCCTAGTTGCACCTTCCTTCAAAGCGCGCGTTGCCCTGGTATCCTCCCTCTTTTGGAACTGTAAGTGTTTTTTTGTGTCGCGTGAGTCTGTGCATGCTTTTATGCTCGGACATTATTCTTTGTGCATAGCTTTGGGTCTCAGTGCACAGGGAAATTTCGCCAGTGCAAGCTTCACAAGGGCAAGGAAAGCTAATCGTCTGCAGATATACAAACAGACAGCCAGACAGACCCCCCATCTCCACCGCTTCAATCACCACACCGAACTCCACATAGTCGCAAACATGGTTGACGCAAAGATCCAGTGCGTATCGCTGCCGTTGTCTGTATTCACTTGGTGCTAACACTCGCGCAGAGAGCTCATGTCGAAGCCCCGGTCGGAATTGACGTATGGCCTCCATCCATGTCCTTGTCTTGCTACAGGAGCAACAACACTGACGGCTGCCTAGTGAATATGAGGTTGCCCAAGTCGAAGAGCACGAGCTCACCACCGGCCCCCTCTCCATCCTCCAGACCGCCGTCCGCTCTCGCACACAAGTCCTCATCTCTTGCCGAAACAATCGCAAGATCCTGGCGCGCGTCAAAGCCTTCGACCGCCACTGCAACATGGTGCTCGAAAATGCAAAGGAAATGTGGACAGAGACCCCGCGGCTATCGAACGGCTCCATGGGTCGCAAGGTGAACAAGGACCGCTTCATCTCCAAGCTGTGTGTCTCGGCTATCTTGATGTTTGGTGAACGTACTGACAGGCGGCAGGTTCTTGCGTGGAGACTCTGTTATTCTGGTTCTGCTCTCATAATTGCGCGGTGTACAGCTTGATCTGGCATGGATACGATATCTCGATAGGGAGTTGGGATTAGGCAAAAAATTACATAAATGTCGCGGACACAAACTCGGCGAAACTCTACGAACGAATCAATCACGATACCCCACACTTTTATTTCTTCAGACCCTCGCTCAGTCCCAGTAGCAGCTCAGCAAGGCCGTGCGCGCCTGGGTCGGGAACTTCTTGAAAGCCCTCTCCGCCAACGTAGACCGTACGACCAAGACTCGCCTTCATCCCCTGGGTTCCCTTGGCGGCTTGATCGGCCGCAGCGGCTGCCTTGTCGATATCCTCAGTCTTGGACAGCGTTTCAACAAAGGGATACAAGGCGTCCATTAACGTGCGGTCACCTGGTTTGGCAGGCGTGTACTTGCCAAGCGCCCTGAGTGACGAATCGAGAGCCTTTGCCCAGATTTTGGAATCCACTGGCTGGGGCGTTGAAGGCTCATTTTGTCGCAGGCCGTGCGCAAGGGCATTGAGGAAGATGGCGTAGATGGCTCCCGATGTTCCATCCATGGCAACTTCGACGACTTGAATGATATGATTGACAAGAATCAACAGATCGTCCGTCTCCTTTACCGTTTCAAGCATCTTCAAAATCGCTGAGATGTTGTCAGTATCAGGCAACCTCGTGCACGTGACTGTTACTCACCTTCTGCGCCCCGCTTCAGTCCAATTCCACAGTCACCATCTCCCACTATTGTGTCGTACCTTGTGACCTCTGGCTCGGCTGCAATCAGCCTGTTCAGAGCCGTTGTCAGAGTGGACTTGGCGAAGCCAAAGTCGACTGTTCCATGTCAGCAAAACAGCAAATGTGAGAAGATGGAATTACGTACCCCTTAGCTTACTCGGCAGTACCTCTTCATCATCCACCTTTGTCTCCTCGACCTGAGCCTCCCCCCGTCTTCCCCATGTTTCCCTGCTGATTGGTGCAGACCAGCCATTCGCCTCCGCCGGCGCATCCAACAGCTCCAGCATCGTGGTGCCTAACGCGCCAACATCGACCAGCTTCAACAAACTAATACTGAACCCCAGCCCATTCAGACTCGTCATGAACGTGCCCGCCAAAATTCTCACCGGCTTAATCGCAAACGTGCGCTCCAGCTGCTCCACCACCTCATTCGTGATGCCGCCCAACTCCAACGGGCTCACCCCGCCGAGATTGTTCACCAGCAGTACCACCGCGTCGCCCGCCTTGATGGTGGAGAAACTGCGGTCGGCATCTGTGGCATCAAGGCAGTGAGATAGCATGGTTTGCACGAGGCCGGGCAGGCCGGTGGTTCGTCGTTCAGACCCGGCTTCGTTATGGATGCCCATGCCAATTTCCACCTCGCCGTCTTTGAGCGCGTCAGCTTCTGTTTCGCGGCGCCCGGGGACGTGGACGTGGGAGAGCGAGGAGCCGATGGAGACGGTGTTGTCGGCAACGAGTTGGGCGACGTCTGCGACTTGTTTGAGGGTTGCTCTAGGACGGTTCTTGTTAGCGATTCTTTTCTCTCAACCCTCCCCTCCTCCCTAAAAAAACCACACACAAACGAGTTCAAAAAGCAGAAACAACGAGAGACTCACCCCCTCGCCGCCAACGCCCCTGCAATCTTAACAACAAAAACCGTCCCTGCGATCCCCCTCCTGCCCACTTTCCCCCCCTTCCCCCTTCCAACACCCACATCGTCCCCCACAACCACCATCTCCACCTGGACCCCCTGCGCCCGCGCCTTCTCCACCCCCATACCGAAATTCAACACGTCCCCCGTATAATTCATCACCACGACCAACACCCCGCTGCGCCGATCCACACGGTGCATAATCGCATGGCGAATCTGCGCCGCGCTCGGCGAGGCAAAGATTGTGCCGGCAATACTGGCGCTCAGCAGGCCTGGGCCGACGAGCGAGGCAAACGAGGGTTCGTGGCCGGAGCCGCCGCCGGAGAGGAGGGAGATTGGCGGGGTCGAGGTGCTGGACTGGATGGGGGTTGGTTTGAGGTAGATTGTCTTGTGGGCGAGGTCGCAGGCGACGGACGGGTTGGTGTGCGGGATGCTGAGGAGGGCGGTGGTGACGAGGTGGGTGGGGTCGTGGATGAAGTGTTTTGCTGGGGGGGTGGGTGTTAGTTTGGTAGAGGGTGAGGAGGGGGAGGGAGTCTCACTAGTGAGTTCTGCGGCCGCCTGCTCGTCTACCGTCTGGTAGAGCTCCTCAGGCGTTGGATGCTTATCTTGTGTATTCTATAGTGTCACTTATGTAGCTTGGCCTTCTAGG